GATTTAAGTTAAGGACTGAGGATCAAGGCGATTCACCTACTGAGGAGGACAGTGATGGAGATGTGGAGGTGCTGAATTTTCTTATCCTTGGGGACAAGGAAAGTCTTGAAGAGGAGGGGAATGATACGGAAGTGGAGGTTAGCACCGGCAAGGCTAGTAAAAATGGGGAGCTAAAGTGCGAAGGACGCGCATCAAGACGTGATGCGTGCAATAGGGCAGCGTTGGGAGCACGCAGGCAGCGCGCATGCATGAGGGACGCGCGTAAGGCAGCGGGCAAGGACGCGAAGCGCGCGACGGCGCGCGAGTGGAAGGTACACACGGGCGCATGCCTAAACGCGGAAGGAGTAGGCGCGACAGGGGCGTTGGGCTGGGACGCGCCAGCCGGCACGCGCAAGCAGGCAGCGCGCGCATCTGCGCGCGTGTGGAGGGACGGTCGCCAGCAAATCCGCAGCCCGCAAGGATTAGGCGAGCACGGGCGGCACACGCGAGAATAAGGCGGCCGAAGAGTTTTGAGTTGGGAGTGAATTAATTGTGCATCAAGATACTTGGCGTGCAAGACAATTAATTAGTATTTTAGTTATGTTAGGAATTTATTTCCATGTTGTTTTTATTTATTAGTAGTAGAAGATGTTAGGACATTTACTAGCATTAGGATTTATATTATTGCATAGAATATGAGATTTAGTTTGATTAGGCCTAGATTTATTTGGCACCTATAAATACCCCATGTACCTCATCATAATTTAATGTCTTGAATTGAGTATTGAATTGGTGAGCCAATTGTGAGCGGAACTTTATGTTCTTACGTGTGTTTAAACAAGGCCATTAGTGCGTGTTTACATACAGTGTCGGAGAGAAGGCCATTAGAGCGTCTTGATGTCACAGTGTGTAAGAGAAGGCCGATAGTGCATCTGTTAGATACACCTATCGTGGATAAACGAAGGCCCTGAGTGCACGTTTATTCACAACCTGTATAGAGTAAAAACATGATTCGTCATCACCGCGATGAATGCAGGCACGCACGATGGTGCACGGTGGATGCTAACGCGCGGCACGGTGCTAGACTGCGGTGATGTTGATCGTGTATCTGCCGCAACTCGATTTGCTTCGAAACCCGAGCCGACGCCTTGATCTCTAAGCGATAGGTTGCTAATACGCGCGCCGACGCCTTCGTACTTCGTGATAGTTGTGAAGAAACTCGGATGTTGGTCCTATTTCTAACACGATTTTGTATGTAAACTCACACACAAGAGTTGGTGAACAAACGTTCGATTTTCTATTAATTTCTTCGATATTAAAAATAACAAGAGGAAGGGCCTTTATATAGGCACCAACTAGATCTAGTCATATTTTAACTATAACTCTAATAAAGCAATAAAATATTAAGTATCCTAAACAATCTAAATATTATAATGAAAGAAGGAAACTAAATATTTAGGAGATCCCAAGTAGTCTTG